TGCAGCACAGACTGCACTGTGGCCAGTAAAGCTTAAAAGCCAAAAATATTTATTATCTATTCAGAAAAAGTTTGCAGATTCCTGTCCTAAAATGTTAACTTAATGTAGTACAGAATGCAGAGTTAAGAACTTGACTTAAAAACAGATATTTTGGAAATTACACTATTTTTTAATTTTCTAGAATTTAATATATTTACTGTGATGATATATTATTATTTAAAAATGATAAAAATTTGCATCACAGATTTGAGTTTTTAGTGATTTGAAGGTATTGATCTAACTTTCCTATTGAATACTAAGAATGTTTTTCTGTTTATGGTTGATATGTTACTAATTTCATCTCAAGTTTAATGAAGCCAAGATAAGTTACATTGATTTTACAACGCGATAAAAGCAAAATTAGTTATGTCTAAATAAATTTTTGTTTTCCATAAGTATTCATGCTCAAAAACTGGATGGAAAGTTAAAAATTTAGAATTCTTTTGAATTTCTTGTTGAGTACCTCTATTGACATTTATTATGCTTTCTCTTTGGGAGATATGACATCTTTCAAGCCTTCAAATCATTTTTTCTAGATTTTGAATTTTAAGAATCTATAAAAATTGTCTTTTTGTTTTATCTTTCTGAAAACTTCTTCTGAAGTTTTATATAAAAATGTCTGAAAGTTTGAATTATCAGATGCAAGATAATTATAATTTGTTCTACCAAACTTACATCATGAACTGAATGTAAAATATTTGAGTAACATTTAGCATTTTTTCTTCAAAATTACTTGACTTGTTGTTTCTGCAATAAATCTATTCAGTTTTGTATTTGTAATTTCTTAAGTGATGTGTAATATCACTTGGTGCCAATGTTTGCAGTCTGAATAAATATTCTTTCACAATATTATCAAGTTTTACTATGGTCTCTGCCAAATGCAGAAAATTTCCATTATCACTCTCATAAACTTTCTTGGATGATCTTCTGAACACATTTGCCTTGCCAAAACCAAAATTATGTATATCTTAAGTTCAACAACAGAATGTCATCTCTTCTTTTTATTTCATCTCTGCTCTTCAATGAAAATATTTATTGATTTTTTTCAAACTAGATTTTAATTTAAAATACCTAACATTGCAATTTTGGTCCAGGTCAATTTATCCACATTTACTCACTGCTCATGGTTGATTATTTCCCATTCTCAAATATTGGTTGATGTTTTTCAACATTGAATAAATTCAGATTAAATACAAGGTCCTTTGTAGAAAGTAACCAGAATGCATGAACTTTTTCATTTGAAAAAAAAATCAGAATATAATAAATAACCAAAACTTCCTTCCTTCTCTCTGTTTTATTTCAAGGTTAAACTTTCTTACATCACATGAATAATATTAGCAAGAGTGGCTCATTACGGAGTCATTAATAATATGTTCACATTCTGGATTGGGAGGGAACACATTTGGCTCGGTGGATTCTATGGGAATATTTTTTCTCTGTTTGATTTTCTGAAGGTCAGCAGTTACTGACATTGAAGTGGGAAATAATTTCATGTCCTGTTCCATCAATGATAATTTGTACTATGTTCTACTGGAACTAATAGTCCTGAAATCTTTTCTTCTGCCTTCATTTCTAGTTATTTAATCTCATTTTCCCAAATTGTTTAGATGTTCCAAAAATTTTATTTATATGTATGTACAAAATTTCCCACATTTTGTTTTCTCACACTAGTAATATTTATTATACTAAAATAAGCTTGTTTCTGCAATTGTCTTATGATAGTTTTATTATAAATTTTATTGTATTTCCAATACTTAGGAAAAAATTAAAAAAGAACATAATATGATAGAATACAATGTATGTACTTGGAAAAAAAAGAAAATGTTAACACATTATTTAATTGTGTACTGACCCAGTTTCCACATTGAAAATTGACAACTCCTATCATATTATGAGCGGATCATTATATTATAATCTCTAAGCTTATGTCCTATGTATTTAAGCAATACGTCCTCTTGTTTCGTTAATGGATAATTAATATTTGTACAATAATTTATATCCTACTGGAAACAGCTTTTAACCAAATAGGGAACTCAGCAGTCTTTTTGTTACAGTAAACAGAAAATAGACCAGGTGACTACAATAAAAATCTATTAAATATAACCAGTATGTTAACACCAATGAAGGATGTTTTTATTTTTATTGATATATAATACATATATGTGTACTTACAAGCAAGAAGTGATTAGATAGGTTGATCAATTGATTTGCCAATAAATAAATAGAAAGATTAGCTTGAAAGGCGGCTACTTTTTCAGAAGCACAAATACCATATATACTAGTAAATCAGCACAATTTTTGATTATCAAATCTTCAACTTACCAAACTTGTTACTCTTTATAAGCCCAAGTGGAATCACATATATTAGTTCTAATATACTGGAATACTTTATTCCTTCTACTAGAAGTTTGCCATAATAAATATTCAGGTTATTTTTGGATTAAGCACCTATTTAAAAACTATAAAAATAAAAATTTTAAATGGATGGGGTAACCCTTAGATATGCTGTGTTCAAGCAAAATAATCAAAGCTGTCCCACATTTTCAGTGAAACAACTTCCCTTTTTATTTACATTCTTGCATTTTCCAAAAGAATCTGCAAAGAGTCATGGGAAATTGGGTTGAAAATAAATCTCATGTCTAGTCATTCTGTACCATCTGCTGCCTAAGTTTTGACATCCCCCCACTCCTGCCTAAGTAATTTATTTCAGGTATAAATTTATCTTTACGATTCTCTATTTACTTAGTTATCTCTCAGGATTCTCCTAAGTTACACATGCAAAAAGATTTCTGGCACCACCTCATCAGATCCCAAAATGTGTAACCCTGGTGGTGAGCAGTTTAGTCTCAAACACTTTGCTTTCCCCAGACCCATAGCTCCTTACATAAGCATTGTTTTCCCCCTCTTTCCCTTTATTCCTCTCTTTCCTTTTTTCCCCATTCTTTCCTGTATTGCTGTCATATCATATTACACAAGAGAAGTTAATGTTGACCAGACACACATGCAGAGAGAAAACAAAAAGTTTATTAGGCTTTCAAAAGGCCAACTGAAGAACCTAAAATGATGAAGCTATAGGATGTGTAATTCCAACTATCTGTTACCCAACCAATGACAAATGTTTGCAGTTTGTTGTTTCTGTTTGTTTCAATTATGCTAATAAAGGCATTGAAATTTCACAATATTTTCTATTTGGAACTCAAATGTTAATATCTAAACTTCACTTAAATTATATAACCTATAAGAAGGAGATTATTTGACACAGAAATTTTTAAGTTATTCTATTGGATCTAAGCAAAACTGGAGGTGTTTATAGTTAAAGCTGGATA